CGAGGATACTTTACCTGAACCCGAAGCAACTTTGTGTGGAGGTTAATATACTCTTTAGAAAGCGTTTAACCCGTGCCTCGAGACTTCCCACAACTTCGTGTTCATCCGTGTGAGTTTATATTTCTCTCCGAAGTTATTTCCCTATTATCTCTAACACATTCTAATGTTAGATATGAAACTGTGATATTTGTTACTTTACGAAGATTGTAGAGATGATATATCAATCTTGATTATTATTATTTTTTACTTTCTACAATCGTATTACATCTTTTAAACAATTATGAAAAGTCCACTATTATATACAATTTATATATTAATTTATATAATATAACCCACTAGATGATGACGTATTTTTGTGGAAGATAAAATCAATTCAAGATCATGAGTTTGATTTTACTAATAGAAAAAAAAGAGCGCAACTAATTATTTAACTGATTCGTCTATAGAAAATTAAATGGGTTGAATGAACAATGAACCTCCTGTTTATAATTTTTTTTTTCCACATAATATAATTTTGTAACTCTACTCTATGTATCATGTAATTATGGCAACCGTTCAACTTGGTCTTCCCCTCCCGGTTTGGCTCTATATTTGGTGTTAGAAGAGTAACAATTTTTTTTTCTGAGAAGAGAGTTTTCTTTTTGCACAGTTCCTTCATAACATAAAATGGGTACTAAGAATTATTTGTTAGAATTAAAAAAAACGTTGGTTTTCGTGCTCAGACTACTTGTTGAACTGTGGGGAGGAAGGTTTGCGATGGGGAAACCACCATTGTTGAACTGTGGAGCTGTTCGGCTTTCTTCTCCACCTCCGTTCCAACATGGGTTCTGTTCGCCTGCGAATACATTGGCCATTGTCGCTCTCTCTCTCGGGATTACACGATAACAGATTCTCCCCTTTTCTCTGACTATATATATATATATATATGTTGGTGTGTATGTGTTTTAACAAAAAGACTATTATTTTTGTGTATATATATAAAAAAAGACTATTGTGTGCGCGTGTGCATGAAGAAGTTAACTAGGAGAATTTTACCCAAAAAAAAGGAGAATGGCATCTCATGATTGGCTAAATCTCAACCCAGTTCAAAAACTACAACTACGGGTTATCATATACACGTATACACCGTAGGATCTAACCAAACTTTTAACCCAAATATAAAAAAAATATATTATGCAAAAAAGAAAAATCTTTTCAAGATTCTTAATATACGAAAGTGTTGCGCATAACTATCTGTTTACGTTTATATATATATATATATATATATATTTATACATGACAAATATTGATCTCTAGACTTTTTCGATTAGAAAATATTTATATCAATTAATATTTTTTTTTGGTCGTATGGTTAAAAAACATTACTAATCAAATATATTGTTGGTTTATTTAAGTGACATGTCAGATGGTGAAGGTATCAAAGCATTCATTGTTTATCTCAACGTCATATGTGTATATTGTCGATTCAAACGATTATCTCAACGTCTCATACGTATATAAATAATAATAAAAAAGATGGTTTTTCCGGGTTTGGCAAAGTCTGAAGTCCTAACGTTTCCTTTTATGCTTTTCCTTGTCACTGTGTTTACATTAAAAACAAGTTTAGTTTTATGATTCTTATTGGCAAAAAAAAAAATTAGACAGACTATCTATTTTATTCATTTACCTCTCTAAATATCTTGTGTTTGTCGTAGCGGTCGTAGTGTCACGCGGAATCTCTCGTCAACATGATTTCTTATATCATTAAATCATAGGTTCTTTTTATTCTTAGCGAGACAAATGATTATGAGAGAAAATATTAAATGCTACAATACCTGAACAAAAACCCTATTTGCATGTACGTCGACAACCTCCCTTTCATAGGGATCTCTGTCGTATACTATGAGTTCCAATGCTTTTCTGCTAACAATCTTTGTTAGCTCATCCTTTACTTCTTTCCAAAATGGTATCCCTAACTCAATAGCATCGATCGATCTATGCCCCTATTTTATTTCATGTCAAACTCTTAATTTGTTTATAATGTATTACGTAGTTTGTTTTATGAACACCACGAGCGAAATTTTTTTTACCTTAGTCTGAATTTTAATCTCTTACCAAAGTATGAAATACAATCCAAACTAGAGATAAAATATAAATAGAAGTGAAAGTAAGAATTTAATAAAAAGTGAATTCAAATCCGTTTTTTTAAAATGAGGCGATTTAAAACTGTTTTAGTAAATAGACATAAATTTTACAAGTTTAAAATTCTAAATACGAAAAAATAAACCACTCTCAAATATAGAAAGAGTAAAGTCCTACTAATTTTTTTTTACCCTAAGCTAATTAACCTCAATTTTACTTTACTCTCTAAAAACCCTAGTTCACTTTATTCTTTGGAAACCGTGCGATATCTGGAGAAAAGAAGGAGAATGAGAAAGCTAGAGGTTAATCCAAATACGGTAAGGCTTTACATGATCATATGAATTCCTCTTGTTTTCTCTATAATTATAATGATCAGTAATGCATAATTTGTAGATAATTGCGATAAGAAAATATGAGATTATAGAAAGTAGGGATTGCGAAAATAGATTGCAAATTCAATAGGATTAAGTTACCTTCAATTAATTAACAAGAGTTTTTAATTGAATGAAACTTCTTTTCTTTATGTGAAAAGTAATTACATGTTTATGTAACATGTCATTCAATTACTATGTAACTTGTCTGATTTAATGAAGTAACTTAAAATGATATGTCTATATAAACCCATCATTTGGTGAGTTTGAAATATGAAGCAATCTTCTATCCATTCTAAAGAAGAAAATAGTAAGAGTAAGGATTTTTCCCGAGTTTGTTTCTCGAGAAAGAAACACAAGTCTCCTTATATTCCGAGGATACTTTACCTGAACCCGAAGCAACTTTGTGTTGGGGTTAATATACTCTTTGGAAAGCGTTTAACCCGTGCCTCGAGACTTCCCACAACTTCGTGTTCATCCGTGTGAGTTTATCTTTCTCTCCGAAGTTATTTCCCTATTATCTCTAACACATTCTAATGTTAGATATGAAACTGTGATATTTGTTACTTTACGAAGATTGTAGAGATGATATATCAATCTTGATTATTATTATTTTTTACTTTTTACAATCGTATTACATCTTTTAAACAATTATAAAAAGTCCACTATTATATAAAATTTATATATTAATTTACATGATATAACCCACTAGATGATGACGTATTTTTGTGGAAGAGAAAATCAATTCAAGATCATGAGTTTGATTTTACTAATAGAAAAAAAAGAGCGCAACTAATTATTTAACTGTTTCGTCTATAGAAAATTAAATGGGTTGAATGAACAATGAACCTCCTGTTTATAAATTTTTTTTTCACATAATATAACTGATTCGTCTATTTTAATTTTATTATAAAATCTATAAAATTTGAATAAAAACTTACATAAATTATACAATTGTAAAAATCATAATCAAAACATAATATGTATTTAAATTTATCATGTTATAATATTTAAAATTTATATAAATATTTTATAAACACCACCATTTATATAATAAATTTATATACAAATATTATATATAGTGGACCCAAAAAATCATTACAATTGAGGGAAAATTTAATTTCACTATAAGCAAACTTAATTTGAGTGTGGGTATTTTACAATTTTATTTAAAATTTTATAAATTCTATAAAGAAAATATTTTTTAATTAAACTGATGTGGTCACAGGGACCCATTCATATCAATGTAGTATATGGTTATACTTAAAATTAAATATATTTTATTGATTATAAATATAGAAATCTAATTTTTTTTTTAAAAAAAATAAACTTATATTTTATTAAAAAACTTCTATTTTACATATAAAAATTGAGCAATTTATATAACATTATACGTAAAAAATACCATATTCCTATTTCAGTTAGTTTATATCAATATTTCTTTTCTTTTCTTTTTTTAAACTCTATAAAGCTTTTTCCAATGATTTTGTGATAAGTAATTTTCAGTTTCACCTAATCTAGAGAGATTGTATGCTTCTTCCCTACGTATGCTATGTCTTATTTTTAAACTTAATCAAATTTTATGGGATTTAAGTTTTAATTCCGATTATTCAAAAATCTCGAAAATATCAAAACATTTTTGGTCATAGTGCGGTAACCAAACAAAAAACTTAGAATATGTGAGACCAAGACTGAATAAACCAAACAATTCGAGGATCCGTCATAGACCAAAGCGCAATATATACTCACTCAATTTACTTTTATGTCAGTTTTGTCTTTAAACACACATATTGATCAAAAAGAGTATTTTGTCCAAAATATCCTTTTTTATTATTAATATCTTGAAACATGGAGAATATATATATATATACATATATATATATATATA